GCGGCTCCAGCCTCACCCAGCGTGTCAGCCACACCCTCTGCAGTCGGTCTTTCTCTCTCTCAGTCTTCACAGCTGATCCTCTTCTGTCTGCAGAATCATGTGTACAACCTCCGATACGATGTCGAACATTTGCAACAGCAAAGGACATCCTACTTTTGCCACAATCTCCAAAGGAATGCATCTAACTTCTCCATAAATATATTTGCTATAGATTATTGGCGCATCATTTTATTACTCTTGTGGTAAAATTGATCAAGTTCTGTTTAAGTATTGAATTAAAGTCAGTTGAAATTAATTTTAATTTTCTTCTTTGTTCACTGATATCCTTTTTATTTCTGTGTTTATATCTTCCTTTCATGAACCTAAGAGAGAGAGAGAGAAGCTCCTTGACAGGGTCTCATCAAGAAACTGTGATCTTCCCTCAGCCCTCCAGGCAGTCAGGCTCCTGGGTGAGCCTGTGAGCTCATTATATGCCCAGTATGTTTCAAGTGAACTCAAGTTCTAAACCTGCAGTCAGCCACGTGGCTTCCAGCACTGCCGAGCACCATGCTACTGCCTGTGCCATGGCAGCTGGGCCCACTGATGTGTTAATCACATGACTGACTTTCCAATGTGAAATTATTACACTCCTAGAGTAAACCTCATCCGATCAAAGTGAATAGTTTAGGTAATGCATTGAGATTCAGTGACAGACATGAAATTAGCCCATCTTTTTTTTCCTCTTACGTCATCTTTAGCTGGCTCTGGAAATGAGGATGCACCAGCTTCATGAAATAATCTGGAAAGCTTTGTTCCTTTCTATATTCTAGAACCATACACATAAGAGAGGCCTGTGGTGTCCTTGAAATGTGGAAGGACTCATCCAACTCTAATGTTATCAGGACAGGGGCCCTTCAAAAAGTTGTTCATTTTTTAACCTTAAAATGTTTTTTTAATTGTCAGAGGGCACATGCACTCAACAGAGAGAGAGAGAGAGAGAGAGAGCACCCCAAATGGGATATGATCAAACCACAGTCCTTTTTCCCCATTTATTTCTCCCTCCTGCCAAGATTTTGGGCATCACACATGCCCCACGTGCTTCTCAAGTTACCAGAGCCAGGATTTACACTGTGGTCAGCCACGTGGTATCTGGCTCCCATTGCACAGAGCTCAACCACTGTGCTACAGGGCCAGTCCTGGAAAGTTCTTTTCATTTATTTGCTATTCATTACTTTATTTTAGTTTTCCATTATCTTCCTTTAGTTTTGATCATTATCTTTCTTGAAAGGTTTTTATCTTATCTATATTTTCAAATTTATAGTTAGAGTTGGACAAATCTTTTTCCATTGTTAAAAAAGAATTACTTTTTAATTTTGTTAATTATTATTATTATTATTTCTTAATTTGCTAGAGGACACACACACAAGAGATAAAGAAAAAATTAGAAGGCAAGTCATCAGGTCCAAGACTTGAACTGCTGTCAGTCATGTGGGAGTCCAGTGCCCTAACCACCATGCCAACTGATGGTCCACCTTTTAAATTTTAAAATGTCTGTATATTTATTCATTTCCCCTTTTTATTCTGAATTGCCCATATTGTCTTTCTTTTTTTTAAGAGAGATTTTTGCTATAGGTAATGTGCACTCACCAGAGACACAGAGAGAAACAGAGACAGAAAGTGATAAGTGACCCCCCTGAGGTGATGGCCACAGTGCAATCCCTTCTCCTCCTCCTCCATTCTCCTCTCAGGAGTTTGGGCATGAATGCACACATGCTCCACATGAGTTTCAAGCTCCTGGGTCCAGAGCTTGAACCGCAGTTGACTACGTGGGAGTCCAGTGACATAACCATCCCACTATCTGCTCGTCCCACTCATCCATATTTTCTTCAGCGTCTTGCCAGAAATCTATTGACCTCATTCAACTTTTCATGACTCAAAATTCGGCTTCATCTGCCCAGTCCTGCAGTGCAGTTAAGTGCTCTGTATAGGGAGCAAGACCCCCCCATGGCTGACTATGATTCAGATCCCAGCCCTGGCCACTTGGAAAACATGCATGTCTGCATACATGCTCAAAATCCTGGTGGGATGGGTAATGCGAGGGGAGGACTGTGACGCGACCACACTCCACTGGGGGATGCTTTCTCTCTCTCTGGAAAGTGCCCTGGCCCTCTAGCAGTGGAAACTTAGAAACTTTTTAGGAGGATGCTCCTCTTACCCACAGTGTCTGGCATAGTTCCTGAAACATGGTAGGTACTCTCTAAGTATCTCTTGTGTAGGTATTTTATTTACTTACCAGGTATTTGTTAAATACTTTCTGCCAAGGATTTCACCACTTGAAGTTAGATGCAGCCATGTGATTTACTCTGGATGATGAAATGTGAGAAGTGGCATGAGGGAGGCATCTTTGCAGGAGGGACCACTGAGAGTCAGTGATTGATTTATTAGGTTCTCTTCACTCTGCTGGGAAGATAAGGGAGCAGATGTGGAGGTGAAGGACTGTCAGCCTGGCTCTGAGCAACCAGGATGAGCAGTCCCCTCTGACTCCCCTTGGACACGTAGTGTGAGCAAAACTGGGTCAAGGAGTAGTTGTTACTTCAGCACAGCCTAGCCTACTCCTACTACACAACGACTAGAAGGAGAGATGCTCAGAGACCTCCAGGAAGCACAGAGGCAGGAGAGTTAGAAGGTTTCATCACTTAAGCTAAGAGAGCAAACGTTTCAGGAAGGACGAAGGAGGTAATAGTGCTGATGTTCCTGAGGGGTTAACTGAGAGAACATCCACTGGGCCTGAGATCAGATGGTGACCGGGGCCCCTTAAAGAGCAGCGTCACACACCATGCCTTGCTCTCACCTTCTTTCACTCTCCTCATTTCATGATTGGCCTTCATTGTTTCCAGAGGCTCAGAGTATATGGAGAGCTGAGAGGGTGAAATGCAGCTCCTCAGGACGTCCCTTGACTTCTCACTACCCTCAACAGGGGCAGCAATAACTACTGGGTAGACGCCTTCACTTTCAGGGCCTCTGAGGGAAGATGGAGGGAGCAGTGTGCAGGACAGGGACACGGTGCTAGTCGGGAGTCCTAACTCCACTGTGCGTGTCCTACTGCAGGTGACAGCCTTTCTGTGTCAGAAGAGGACATGGGGGAGTCTCCAGCCTCAGGTGTATTTAAAACTCCAGCCCCAGCTTTCCTTCAATCTCTGCTTCTCGAGGTCAACGACGATGCCCCCGGGGAGCTCTCCAGTTCCTGCTGTCTGTGCTCCTTCCACACCTGCATTTGACAACGGGCCTGACACATGCAAAGGTCTCAGTAAATGCTGACATTCGAGGTGTGGTAACAAGGCGACCCCACACTGTGGTCTCCAGGCCCCAGTCTCCTCTGGAACCTCTCCCTGTACTACATGGTCTCAGAGATACTCCAGAGACCAATAAATACCTGTGTATGTCACACCTGGGTGTGCCTAAGACCTTCTTTCTGTGACTCCATGTCCTTTTCCCCTCTCCTTAGTCCCTCAGTTCCCTGGGGTACATATCCTGGACCTGCAGTGTGGGTGGGGATACAGCATTCTCCGATCCAGCCAGGAGGTAGACCCAGAGACTGTGCACTCCTCCCTGGGTACTGCTCTCACCTAATGCATGGGGCAGAGGGACAAGAATGGCTAGAAAAGACTGTTTGGATATGGTTTGTAATTTTCAGTGCTCGAAGGTTCTGAGGTTGGGTATATATGTTTTAAAGACTTTGCAGAATTCTCGTGACTCTTTCTGTTTTGAAAGGCTGGGTTATAACCATTTACATTTTTTCTGCTGCATAGGTTTCTCACATGTGGGGAAACAGAAAGAAATAAAGTCTTCTCATTTATTTACTGCACTCTATCCTTGTCACCTCACTGGAATTATTACACCAAACAAGGTCCAGGCTTTTCTTTTCTTTCTTTCTTTCTTTTTTTTTTTTTTTTTAGAGGTTTTTGTTTTAGTGTTTTGCATGAGCCTGGTGTGAGTTTAAGCCACCAGATCTTGGACTCGAACTGCAGTCGACTACATGGGAGTCCGAAGACGTAGCAATTACACCATCTGCTGGTCCCCAGCTTTTTCATTTATAGATTTAGAGAAATCTAATAGTGAACAAGGATAAAATATTGCTGTTGTTTTAATTGCCAGGGGGCAAATCTAATAGTGAACTAGGATAAAATATTGCTGTTATTTTAATTGCCAGGGGGCCAGTGTGCTTCCTGGCAGGGGCATGGTGGGCAGGGTGGCTATGGGGTGTGGCCATGTCACAATCTCTTTTCCTCCATTTTTCCTTTTCATCAAAATTTTAGGCATGGGAACCAGCAGTTAGCGTAATGCCTATGTTGCTGGACTGCCACGTAGTCAACTGCGGTTCGCGTCCCGGACCCGGTGGCTTAAAACTCACGCCGGACACGTGTCCGCGTGTGCCCAAGATCCCGAGAGGAGAATGGAGGAGAAGGGATTGCGGCGTGGCCATCCCGC